TGCCCAGGCGGGTCTCGAACCCGCGGGCTCAGGCAATCCACTCAACTCAGCCTCCCAAGGTGCAGGATTACAAGCTGAGCCACCGAGCCCGGCTCCGGCTCATTTTTAAAAAAAATTTATTGTAGAGACAAAGTCTCACCAAGTTGCCCAGACTGGTCTCGAACCCAGGGGCTCAGGCAATCCACTCACCTCAGCCTCCCAAAGGCACGGGATTAAAGGCTGAGCCACCAAGCCCGGCTGCCACTTTTTTAATGAGTCGGAATTTACTCTGTCACCCAGGCTGCAGTACAGTGGCATGCTCACAGCCACAGCGGCCTCGACCTCCTGGGCTCAGGCAACCGTTCCACTTCAGCCTCCTGAATAGCTGGGACTATAGGTGTGCATCACCACACTTCTTTTTCTTTTTTTTGAGACGAGGTCTCACCAAGTTACCCAGGTTGGTCTCAAATCCCTGGACTCAAGACAATCCTCTCACCTCCACCTCCCAAAGTGCTGGGATTACAGGTGTGAGCCGCCACGCCTGGCTATTCCCATTCTTATTTGTCTCTACTGCTGGACAGTGGGAAATTGGAGAGCAGAGGTACCGCCCTGACTTGTCCCCTGTCCCAGAGCCCAGCCCAGGGCTGGGCACACAGTAGGCTTCCACCAAAACTCGAGTAGCAAAGATGTGATTACATCACGGCTATCCCACTCACCTCACACCTGTAGCAATTTTCATGAAAGTTTCTTCCCATGCACTCGATTTTGAAGGCATCCTTCCCATCCCGGGGAATGATGGGATTCTCACAGATGCTGCACACAGGGGCGAATTTCCTAGAGGGAAAGGAACCATTTGAAGGCGTTCACACTGACGGCAGCATCAATTAGCTGTCAGAACGCCGGCTGCCCGGAGTTCACCTCCTGAGCAATGTCGGACCTGTTGCCATGTGACTATGTCTTTATTTTTTGAGTTGGAGTCTCCCATTGTCACCCAGACTGGAATGCAGTGGCACGCTCCTGGCCACAACAGCCTCGACCTGCTGGGCTCCGGCGATCCTTCAGCCTCAGCCTTCCAAGTAGCTGGAACTACAGACGCGTGCTACCATGCCTGACTAATTTTTGATTTATTATAGAGATGAGGTCTCTCCAAGTTGCCTGGGTGGGTCTCGAACCCACAGACTCAGGTAATCCACTTGCCTTGGTCTCCCAAAGTGCTGGGATTACAGGGTGAGCCACTAAGCCCAGCCTATGTGACCACTTCTAAAGTTACAGCCACAGATGTCTGTCTCATCCTGGCAGGAGCAGGCGGAGAGGTCTGTGGAATCAGACCCGGCTCCCAGGGTGACCAGAGAATTCCTGAATTAAGAACTGTGTTCAGTGAGGCTGGGGCTCACCTTGTTTATCTTCTATTCTAGATCACTGCTTTTTTTGTTTGTTTGTTTTTTGTTCTTCCCTTTCTCTCTGTCTTTCTTGTCAGATTCTGACTCTCCCAGGCTGGAGTGCAGTGACGTGGCCATTGCAGCCTCGACCTGCTGAGCTCAGGCAGTCCTTTGGCTTCAGCCTTCCAAGTAGCTGGAACCACAGGCATGCACTGCCATGCTCAGCTAATTTAAAAAAATTTTTTTTAGAGAAAAGGTCTTGCCAAGTTGCCCAGGCTGATCTTGAACCTCTGGGCTCAGACAATCTCTTGCTCCCATCTCACAAAGTGCTGGAATTATATATGTAAGGCACTGTACCCAGCCTATTTGTTTTTGAGTCAGGGTCTTACTCTGTCACTCAGGCTGGTGTAGTGGCATGACCATGGCTCACCACAGCCTTAACCTCCTGCTTCAGCCTCCTGAGTGGCTGGGACTAAAGGTGTACACCATCACGATGGGCTAATTTTTAAAATTTTTAGAGATGCGGTCTCACTATACTGCCCAGGTTGGTCTTAAACTCCTGGGCTCAAGCGATCCTCCTGCCTTAGCCTCCCAAAGTGCTGGAATTACAGGTGAGCACCACTGCACCCAGCTGTTCTTTTTTAAAGAGGTACATCTGTCTTTACTCTTGCCAGTGAGCAACTCGTGAACAGGGAGTCTCATGGATACCTGTGTCTTCCCACTGCTTTGCCTGGCTTCATGGGAAGGTACCATAATCTGGGACTCGAAACCAAGGCCCCAAAGTCAGGTTCTGGGGGTTTGAATATGAGCTTCAATGTTTACTAGCAGGGAGACTCTGGGTACTTAGCTGCTGTGTGCCTCTGGTTCCACACTAGGTAAAATGGAACCCTTTATAGTACTACTTCTGATATTATGTTATGTACATGAGTATATATATTGGTCTTCATCCTTAATTCCTGGTTCCTACCTGTAGTCCTTATTTTTTTACTTTTTATTTTTTTGAGTTGGAGTCTCACTTTGTCGCCCAGACTGGAGTGCAGTGGCCACTCCCGGCCACTGCTGCCTCGGCCTGCTGGGCTCTGGCGATCCTTCCGCCTCAGCCTTCCCAAGTAGCTGGAACTACAGGCACACGCTACCACACCTGGCTAATTTTTTGATTTGTTGTAAAGATGAGGTCTCGCCAAGTTGCCCAGGCGGGTCTCGAACCCGCGGGCTCAGGCAATTCACTCACCTCAGCCTCCCAAGGCGCGGGATTACAGGCTGAGCCACCTAGCCAGGGTCTGTGGTCTTTATGATGCTGGGGTGCCTCAGGCCTTACAAGGAGGTCTCAGAATCTCCTGCCTCCTCCCACCTGCTTTTGCTCCCCAGGGCTGCAATCTCCTCCCACCTTTCTGCCTTGGGGCTGGCCAGAAAGAAATTCTCTGCCCTCCCTTTTCTGATTGTGGGTCACAAGATCCTCATTCCAGAGAGGGTCTTAGCGCACACCCTGTAGGAAGGAATGCTGCAGGAAGGCCCGGAAGACTCTGGACAGACAGGCCTTGATGGGTTTCCCACTCAGTCTATGAGAATTTCATCTGGTTCCATTCTCCGTGGTGGTAATCGTGCCTATCCCCATGAAGTCTCCATAGAAAGCCCGAGAGGACAGTTTTGGGGAGCTTCCACACAGGGGGTTCCTGGAGGGCGGTGAGCCCAGGGAGAGCAGGAAGCTCGAGCCCCTTGCTACCCCTAGACCTCGCCCTAGCATCACTTCGTCTGTATCATTTTTTTTTTTTTTTTGAGTCACAGTCTCACTCTGTTGCCCAGGCTGGAATGCAGCAACACGCTCACAAATACTGCAGCCTGAGCTGCTGGGCTCAGACGATCCTTCCGCCTCAGCCCTCCTAACAACTGGAATGACGGGCATGCACCACCATGCCTCGCTAATTTTTTTGATTTAGTGTAGAGACGAGGTCTTGCCAAATTGCCCATGCTGGCCTTGAATCCCTGGGCCCAGGCAATCCTCTTGCCTCTGCCTCCTAAAGAGATGGGATGACAGGTGTGAGTCACCACGCCCAGCCTGTCTGTATCCTTGATAAAACTGTTCACATAAAACGGCAAACAGGAAGCATCCAGCATGAGGCTCAGTTCCCTCGTCCTGCCTGGGTCCTACCCTGCCCTCCCCATACCACCCGGTGCGCAGATCCCCTTCATACCTGTAGAAGTCATCCAGGCAGTACACCTCATTCTGGCTGTCCAGGGCAAAGCTCTCATCTCCGATGCACCGGGCGCAGGTCACGCACGTGAAGCAGGTGGGGTGGAAGGCGCGGCCCAGGGCCCTGATGATGTGCTCCCGGACCACCTCGCCACATTTGCCACACTTCTCCAGGGTATCCTGGGACAGAGGCCACTGCCAGAGCCACCCACAGGCATGCCTACCCCAAGCCATAAGGGTCTTCTGCTGGCCACCCTTGGGGACACTGGGGGCCGGGAGTACATCAGAGGCATGCAGCCAACCCGTGACTGCCACCCCAAAACCTCCACCATCGCTTAGGATGAATTGACCTTGACATTGCATCTTTGGCATACAGCAAGAAAGACTGTTCTGAAACTATTACTACATTTCTTTATTTTTTCTTCTTTTTTTTGAGTTGGAGCCTCACTCTGTCGCCCAGACTGGAGCGCGGTGGCACACTCCTGGCCACCGCAGCCTCGAACTGCTGGACTTCAGTGATCCTTCCGCCTCAGCCTTCCAAGTAGCCGGAACTACAGGTGTGCGCTACCACGCCCGGCTGATTTTTTTTTTTTATTTATTGTAGAGATGAGGTCTTGCCGAGTTGCCCAGGTGGGTCTCGAACCCGCGGGCTCACTAAAATTTCTTGATTTTTTTTGTAGAGACGCAGTCTCACTTTGTTGCTTAGGCTGGTCTCGAGCTCCTGGGCCCAAGCAATCCTCCCGCCTTGGCCTCCCCTAGTGCTGGGATTCCAGGCTTGAGCCACTGTGCCCAACTGCTCCCGTTCATTTTAACCTGACTCCATCTGGACTGATGTGTGGGGGCAGCTTGAGCCCAGGAGCTCGAGACCAGCCTAGGCAACAAAGTGAGACCTCGTCTCTACAAAAAAAGCAAGAAATTAGCGGGGTGTGGTAGCATACGCCTGTAACCCCAGCTTCTTGGAGGGCTGAGGTGGAAGGACTGCCTGAACCCTCAGGAGGTCGAGGCTCCTGTCCAGGCAAAGCTCATCTCTCCCCCGACACTGCTCAGGTCTTCCTGGCTTCCGGTCAGAAGCCCTCCTTCCACAGTGTCTCACCACCCCCGCCCCGGCTCCAAGCTGGAGGAGAGAGTAGGAAGACCCTCCATGGTCATATCATGGAGTCAGAGGAACAGGCAAAAAGGGCCTGGTTTCCTTCCCCTCCCACTGTGTCTTGCTGGCGGTGGTCAAGTCATGAGCCCAGGAGTGGATCATTCGGATTGTTCTAGATAGTTGCAACTCCAAATATTCTACCTCCTCAAATCAATAGCTTTCAAACTTCCATGTGCATGAGAATCACCTAAGACACTTGTTCAACATGCAGACTTCTGGGAACCACCCATTTGTGAGGACAAGGTGAGGCCTGGGCACGCCCAGGGGACATGGCTGGGGGTGGTCTGCATATCACATAAAACACGCCACCACAAACCAAGTAGCTGGCAACGCCAGCACACTGGTATCCAAGCTAGCCCTCCCAGGCTGCACCTGGTACCCAGAAGTGGCCCAGATTCCCATCAGGCCACGCACTGGAACCTCGTGCTCTAGGTGAGGTAGTGGCAAAACCAAGAGCAGGCTCCAAAGCCACAGGTTGGGAGTAGAATCCCAGCTCCTCAGTCTTCCAGAGACCGATCTTGTGTGACCCTGTGTGGGAATGCCTCAAAGATATCCAGGTCCTGATCTCGGGAACCTGTGACTGTCAGTTACCTTGTGTGGCACAAGAGACTTTGCAGGAGGGATCTTGAGATGAGAGATTTTCCTGAATTATTTGAGTGCATCCTAGATGCCACCACAAGTGTCCCCCATTAGGCAGAGGGATATTGGACAAAGGTGGCAATATGACCATTACAGCGGGTTGCTGCACTGCCAGCTTGGAAGATGGAGGGAGCCAAGGAACGCAGCTTCGGAAGCTGGAAAAGGCAAGGATTGAGACGCTCCCCTCGAGCCTCCCAAGAGAGCCCAACACCTTGACTTTGGCCCAGGGGGACTGATTTTGGATTTCTGACCTCCAGAGAATAAATGTGTGCTGTTGGAGATTACAGCCCCTGGGAAACCAACACACCTTCACTGAAACCCTTCTCCTTTCTGAGCCTCAGCTTCCTCATCTGTGAAATGGGTCAACAGTGCCTATTTCCCAGAACTGTATGGGGAAGGAAATGGTACATCTTCTAAGCATCCCACCTGCCGCAGGGGCTTACCTGGTAGCAAGGCTCGCAGAGGGGCTGCCCATCCTTTTGGTAGAAACTCTGCCCAGCCAGCTGGCGGCGGCAGGTACGGCAAGTGAAGCACTGGGCGTGGTACTGCCTCTTCATGGCCTCCACGGCCAGCTCTCGGGGGGACACTGTCTTATGGCAGAAGGCGCAGATGTCTGGAGTAGGAAGACACAGGCTATCACTTGCTCAGCCTGGGAGTCGCCACTAAGAACGTGGCCGGGGTACCCAGGGCTCTGCCTGAAACCCTGACAAATTCCTCAACGGACAAATATGGAAGGTTGTGCATTAAAAAGGAATCTGGTCAGGCCAGGCGTTGTAGCTCATGTGTGTCATCCCAACACTTTGGGAGGCCGAGGCAGGAGGAATGCTTGAGCCCAGAAGTTCCAGACCAGCCTGAGTAACATACAGAGACCTTATCTCTACCAAAATTTTTAGAAATTAACTGGGCATAGTGGTGTGAGCCTGTAGTCCCAGCTACCTGAAAGGCTGAGGCAGAAGGATCACTGGAGCCCAGGAGACAGAGGCTGCGGTGAGCTGTGATTTCGCATCTATCCTCCAGTCTGGATGACAGAGTGAGACCCCGACTCAAAAACAAGGGCATCTGGTCTATGGCCACACCACACCAGATGTGCGGGCCAGGCTAGTACTTGCTCGGGAGACCTCCTGGAAATTCGGATGTTGTAGATGTTTAAAAAACTTATCAAAGATCTAAATGTGAAAAAAGAAACCAAAACAGAATTATTTTATAACTTTGGAGTCATTAAGGCCTTTCTAACTATGATATAAACTCCAGGAGCCAGAAAAAGAAGGGCTGAGACATCTGACTTCACAAAAACTTAATCTTTTTTTATTTTTTTGACTTGGAGTTGCACTCTGCCACCCAGGCTGGAATGCAGTGGCGTGCCACGCCAGCATCGACCTGCTGGGCTCAAGTGATCCTTCCGCCTTAGCTTTCCAAGTAGCTGGAACTACAGGCACGCACTACCATGCCCAACTAATTTTTTTTTGATTCATTGTAGAGACAAGGTCTTGCCAAGTTGCCTGGGCTGGTCTGGAACCCGCGGCCTCAGGCAATCCACTTGGCTTGGCCTCCCAAAGTGCTGGGACTATCAAATGAGCCACTGAGCCTGGCCATTTTTAAAATTTTGAGTCTGAGTCTTACTCTGTCGCCCAGGCTGGAGTGCAGAGGGATGCTCACGGCCACCCCAGCGTCAACCTGCTGGGTTGCGGTGATCATGCCCAGCTAATTTTTGATTTATTGTAGAGACAGGCTGAACCATTGAGCCTGGCCACCCGGCTAATTTAAAAAAATTTTTTGTAAGCTGGGCTCAGTGGCTCAGCCTGTAATCCCATGCTTTGGGAGGCTGAGGTGAGTGGATTGCCTAAACCCGCAGGTTCGAGACCCGCCTGGGCAGTGAGACCTCATCTCTACAATAAAATTAAAAAAAAAAAAAAATTAGCTGGACATGGTAGCACGCGCCTGTAATTCTGGCTACTTGGAAGGCTGAGGCAGAAGGATCGCCGG